TGAGATTTGCATTTTATCTACCTGGTGACCCACTTAATATTTCAACCTGTGCAGTGCAGGCTTTTCTCAGAGAACTCACAATGGTGATAGCATGAGGAAGCATTGGTTTGTCTATAGAATCCTTATTTCCAGATCATTTTTTATCCAGTATTAAAATTTGGGATCTCTACACAGCTAAATCTGTAGTTATTCTTCAGGTAGCCTCCCCATGACACATGACAAATGTAATTTGTTTTGTTTCTGGCAGCTTGAAGATCACGAGTATAAACCTTTAGATCCTAAAGATATTCGTCTTCCACCTCCAATGCCCCCCAGTGAGAGACTTCTGGCTGCAGTTGAGGCATTTTATAGTCCACCATCTCATGACAGGCCTAGAAACAGGTAAGAGTAGGTGTAGGCAATAAAATGGTAAGGAAAATGCTCTAAGAAGGTGCCTCAAATCACAAAATGCCTCCCTCTCTTTTGCCTGTGTCTTGGTTCTCCTAATGCTCTTGTTGTATTGCAGCTGCACTTTCTGTTTGATCTTATGCTGCGATTTGTGAGACAGTTTTTCCCAGACCCTTTTTTCTGTACAAAATCCTGTGAAAATCCTTAAGGTCTCCACTGAAGTGGAATTTACACGTGTGGGTTCTGTGTGGTTGATTTGTTGCAGTGAAGGATGGGAGCAGAACGGACTGTACGAATTCTTCAGAGCTAAAATGAGAGCAAGGCGGAGGAAAGGTCAAGAGAAGAGAAACAGGTGAGAGTTCCTGTGTGCCACCTTCTGCTCTGTGCTGTTCATCTGGAGGGTGCTTGGGCTAAATGCAGAGGGAAAGTCTGTTCAGCAACATGCTGATGGAAGAATGAGTTTCAATGTGCTGGAATTTCTGTCTAATCTGCAGAAAATGGACATGGCACAGGTTGCTCAGAGCAGCTGTGGGTGCCACATCCCTGGAAGTGCCCAAGGCCAGGTTAAACAGGGCTTGGAGCAGCCTGGTTAGAGGAGGGTGTCCCTGCCCAATTGCAGGGGTTGGATGAGCTTTAAGGTCTCTTCCAACCCAAACTGCTTTGTGATTTTGTGAAATCACAAAATCACAAAGGGCTTGGAGAAACCTGGTCGTGAGGAGGGTGTCCCTACCCAATGGCAGGGGTTGGAACTGGATGAGCTTTAAGGTCTCTTCCAACCCAAACCACTTTGTGATTCTGTGAAAGAGTTTTTCACACTCAAGCTTTCACTTTCCCTGCAGAAGTAGTGCTTGTGTGTAATTTGAATTTGATCAGATTTGTGTTTGTGGTGCTTCTCCATGGAATCTCAGTGGAGTTTCTCTGCTCATTTGTGCAGTGGGCCCTCTCGGTCTCGCAGTCGCTCTAAAAGCCGAGGCCGTTCATCTTCTCGGTCCCACTCACGATCTTCAAAATCATCCGGCTCCTACTCGAGATCCCGCTCGCGCTCTTGCTCTCGGTCGCGATCCTATTCTCGCTCGCAGTCCAGGTAGGGCCCAGGGGGCTGAACCTTGGGAAGTGTGGGAGTGGGCAAACCCCAGCCCTGGAGGCTGACGCAAGGATCCACGGGGTTGCTGTGTAACTTGTGTGCTCTCCCTTGCAGAAGCCGCAGCAGGTCCCGCTCCTCGCACAGCCGCTCGCGCTCCCGCTCCCGGTCTCGCTCCAAATCCTACTCCCCTGGGAGGCGGCGCCGGTCCCGCTCTCGCAGCCCCACTCCTCCGTAAGCTCTGCTTTGGTTCTGTCTCCTCTCACCTGGGCTGTTGGAACAGAGCCTGCAGGGGCTCTGCCTCCTTACCAGCGGATAATCAGCATTTCATCAAAGAGCAGGAAAGATGATGGAGAGCAGATCTAGAAATAATTGATCTGCTATATGGGCTTGTAGAGAGAATATTACTCTATTGTGGTGGCTTTTTATTTTAACAAAACTGCGTGCAGAAGTGAAAACTGCAAAACTGTGAAGTCTGTATGCCTTCCTTGGGAGCAGGAGTAATTCTCTGTGTGCTCCATTGGGAAGAGCGCAGTGTCTCTTCCAATCTAGAAATTCTGTGTGATTCTGTGTGTGATTCTGTTTGATTTCCCTTGTGCTGAGAAGCAGGTGATGTGTTTCTGGCACCTCAATAACTGCATAATCTGAAGGCTGTAGTAAAGAATAGCTTAGTAGAGTGGATAGAATTGTGTTGGATGTTAATGCTTAACAGAATAGAACTGACCGTGTTTTGTGTCAGAATAACATCACTGGTTCTAAATTTGTTGTTCTTATTTTCTTAGTTCTTCTGCTGGTTTGGGCTCCAGTTCTGGGCCTTCAATACCAGAATCGAGACTTGGAGAAGAAAATAAAGGCCATCAAATGCTAGTGAAAATGGGTAAGATGCTGTTCTAGAATCTTAGACAAGGCAGGAAACAAAATTAGACACCGAAGTCTTAGATGTAATTAATTAATGCATGTTCATAAGGAATTATTCCTTGGCATCAAGGTCAGCATAAGAACATTCAGAGATGTAAAATACAGAAGACAGGGATGTGAGTTTGGCATCAGATAGAACTGACCCCACCTGAAGTATTTCATCTCCCTGCAGTGCAGGTCAGCAGGGCTGACTGGACAGATTGGACTTGCTCTGCTTTTCTTCTTACCCTCCTAACAGTTTTTAGGGATACTGCTGCTGTCAGCTCCTAGAATCTCTGCATATTAATGCTTGTGAGATAAATGAGACAGTTCATGTGCTGTTCCAGGTTGTCTGTTCCCATCCTGCTTTATCAAACTGATGCTTTCTTTGGTTGTTTCCAAAATGTGTTTGTCTTCACAATTATAGTCCTAAAAAAGCAGTGAAAGGATTGCAATGTTGTGTCCTTGCTGCAGGATGGAGTGGATCTGGTGGATTGGGAGCCAAGGAGCAAGGAATCCAAGATCCAATTAAAGGAGGTGATATCCGAGACAAATGGGATCAGTACAAAGGAGTGGGAGTTGCATTGGACGACCCTTATGAAAACTACAGAAGAAATAAAAGTTACTCATTTATCGCACGCATGAAGGCCAGGGATGAATGTAAGTGAATGTTTCTCAGCAATTTAGAAACCTCTATGGACTTCAAAGTGATTTTTGTAAACCCAAATCAAAATAGCAGTAGCTCTTAATTTTTTCTAATGTAACTGATACAGTAAAACAGCAGGTAAGTGGATGTGTACTCTGATTAACCCAGCAAGTTTTTTCTTTTTAGGCATTGTGTTGTGTTTTAATTTCTGAAATGTTAATTAATCAGTGTGTTCTGTGTAAGTCACTTCCTGGCTGCAATACCGAGCACCTGCATCTTTGAATGTTCCCCCACAAAAACTTGAAATAGTCACAAAGTTCGTGGAGGGGGAGCTGTGCCACACAAGGGACAGCTGCCACAGCAGGGAGGTCCTTGTGGTTGGAACCAAGTTAGGCCACACTTACTGTTTACCCCTGCCCTAGACAGAGTTTCCTTCCATTAGTACCACATTCTGCCAAAGCCAGAATTTGTAATAAATTCCCTGTAGTGCAGGAAGGGTTCAGAAAAAGACAATGACCCAAAAGATGGATTTTTGCAGATCTGTGATACGTTGAACATTGGCACTTGCCAGCAGCTAAAAGGAAAAAGTTGGCATGCTCAATGAAATGTCACTTCTGCCTCTAGATCAGTGCAAGAAAATGGGTTCAAATAAAGCCCATAAGGAAAAATTCCTTATTAACAGAACCCTCATTCCACCAAACACTTCAGACAGCTTAGGTAACTGCAGAATGTGTAAGAGCTCTTCTCCCTGTTGTTTCAGTGAAGCATGAAACACAAGACCCTTCACCATCCGAGTAAGACTCTCTGAAGAAACATGTCTTGCATCTTCTGCAAAACATTAAACGTTTAGAAATCCTGATTAAAGTCTGGACAAAGTGACAAATTAATTACTTTTAAAACCATGGTGAAAAATGGAAAGCGATGACATGTACTTCAATACTTGTCAATTAGTGCTTAAAAAAGGCCAGGTCTTACTGTGACATGTCTAGCGAGTTTAAAAATTCCCATTTATCTTGCAAAACTTTCTAATTAGTTCCCCATTTTATAGCAGAATTAAACCCCACTCAAGCTGTTCCTGGTGCAGGACTGTGCCTCATTCATTCCTGTGGAATAGACATTATGTGATGTGGTTCTATGTTCTCTAGTTCCATAATGTATATTTATTTCTCTCAAAAGGTTAATTCTATTTGAAGTGGAGGGGTGCTGCCTTGGGATCAAGTCAGACTGATGCTGAGCAGTGTATCCTAATGTCTAAATGGGGAATGAAGCATCTAGTTCCAGTGCAGGTGACCTCTGAGCACTGTGCAAGCTTTTAGAACCTTCCAGTCACCTCCAGGCCCTGCCCAGCAGCTGCTGCAGCCACCACTCGGGGCAGGACACAAGGGTCACTTCTCTGGTAGCTTCCCCAGCACTCTGAGGGATGGGTGATGCTTTGTAATGGAACACAGTCTTTGAGCTTTTTATATTTTTGTATATACCCTTTAATAAAAGCTAATTAGTTCAATAGAAGAGAATCCATTTTCTCTGCTCTACACGTTTCTATCAATGAGATGTTCTTGGAAAGTTGCTGTAATCTAAATGAAAAAAAGAAACAAATCTTTTGTAACTGTTTCCAGAGACCACCAGCTAGAGCTGTTAGGCCCTTACACTGCACTTCCAGTCCCCAGGTCTGCCCCTTTTCCAGATGTTTGTAGAGCAAAAACCCTCTTAAAACCATTCAGTTAGTATGGTGGAATATCAGTTTGTTCTAGATCTACTGTAGTTGTGGAACTGTACCTGTCTGTGAATCAGCATACAACACCTGTATGTTACCAACTTGTGAATGTTGTTGTTTTGCCTTCCAATAAACAATTTTTTTAAAATAAAAATGCAGCTGAGATTTCCTGAAGCTTGGCTGTAAGCCTTCCTTGTTTTTAATTTGTCTTAATAAACACACCCAAGTGTGTGTTTGGGTTTGTTGTAATCTGACAAGGCTGATCATACAGAAATGCTGTTTGGATAATGGCACTGAAGTCAGGATATGGTAATTTTCTGCTGTGGTTGTGTTTCTCAGGGGCTGTAGTACAGACTTTCACTTCTACCACCATCATAGGTGAGATCACAGATCTCACAATTCACTGGGTAAATGTGAATGACTTATCATTAATGACTTATCACTGTGATGACTTATCACAGTCCCATTAGGCAGAAGTGTTATCTTGATGTCTCTTTTGCTGACATAGTCTGGCTGAAGGTTCCTGTGTATCCCTGTATTGTGTACACAAGTAAAACATTCAGGTATAAAAAAGTAAATTATCTATAATAATTAGCAACGTGTACTAACTAATTTATACTAACCTAGCAGTTTGTACGAATTCTTCCAATACAGTTTATAACCTTTTATCCGTGCAACTTGGAAAGGTTTCTTGTTTCAGCCTTAGAGTTGTGAATATAAATGTCACTTGAAGTTCAGTAACTGTCCCAAGCACTTAATTTCTCCTGGGCTCTCTCCGAATTTCTTCAAGTGCTTGCTCAATTGTTAGAGGTGGGGATTTGTGATTCTTGATGTACTGCAAAAAAAAAAAAAAAAGTTAATAAGCTAATGTCTTCATTATGTAGGTAATTATTTATTAAATAGTAGAAAGCAGCTAATCTTCATGTCAAGATACCTGCACGTTTCTGTACTAGCAACAAAAAGTGACCCTTCTGTTGCAGCATCTGAATGAACCCTGCTCATTTGAGGACAGCTAAATGCTACAGCAGAAACCTTAATCTTTAAAAACTATGGTCTCTAGCAGGACTTCAGTCTTTTTTTTTCCTTTTAAACTTATTCATTATTCATATGCAGAGAAACTAGGTTTGCTGTCAATACCACAAGCGTTTGGAAAGGAATTCACGCTCGGTCTCTGGTTTGTCATAAATACCTCTTTAGCCTCTTCCAGGGTATGGTAGTGGAACTTCTCATGCTCCAATGACTCCACGAGGGCTGTGTGAAGGTGGTGAACGTTCTGGACAAACTGCTGGGTCAGCATCAGGTGCTGCTTGCACATGGTGTGTAAGACAAGAACCGAGGGGCTGTACGCGGTCAGGGCTGTGAGGAAGGGACAGCAAGGGCTGAGCAAACCAAGCTGGGCTCAGGTGCAGAAAATAGAGTGAAAAAGTGTTGAAAGCAAAGGGAGACGACCCATCTTTGTTGATCAGCGTTGAACTCCAATTTATTGATCTCACTTACACACTTTTATAGTGGTGTTAATTAAGCTCATGCATATTGCAAAATCCGAGCTCATCATAGGTCACAGATTACACATTAACCCCTCCTTTTGTTTTCAATACCTGTGGTTTGTTATTGAATCCAAGATTTATTTTCTCACCCTGTTATGAAAGTTCTCAAGGCCTCCATGTTTGTCAACTTTTGCTCTCCCAAAACTTATCCAAGGACAAGATATTTACTTGTTATTAAAAACAACCTGAGAACCTCTGCTGTTTACATAGACGTGCCTGAGAACTTTTGTTGTTTACAGAAACAGGCTGTGAGAATTTGCTCCTCACAGCTGCCTTTTACTTTTCCATCAGGTGTATATGATTATGGCATGTCTGAACAAAACTCTATAAGCCATTTCTGAGCAAAATTCTCCAACAAAAAAGAAGAATAAATGTGGTTTTGGTACCTTCTACTGCATCCATGCTGATGACATGGCTGGCAATTGGCACTGGGTCGATGTAGGTTGTTCCAATGGGTGGGCTGAGCACTGCAGTGGGGTTTGCTGTGCATGGGAGAGATCAGAATTACTGGGGGGACAGGGGAAAGGTTCAGTGCCACTGCCTGGTTCTTCTGCAGTTTTTTGGGGAAAGGTTTAGTGCCACTGCCTGGTTCTTGTGCTGTTTCTTGGCACAGCAGCTGCCCTAAAAGCACAGCACAGCCTAACAGGCTGAACTCACCCTTTGCCCAGCAGTAGGTGAAGGGAGGCTCTGCTGTCTGCACTGCAGTTTCTGTGACGGTCACTTGGTGTCCCCGGCTGTGCTGTTTTGGGGTGACCAGCAGGGATGACCCTGAAGATGGGTGTGCTCTAGGAGACCTGCAGCTCTCAGCATGTCCCTCTACAGATTCCCTGTCTGTTGCAGATGGAGACCTTTCAAAGTCTTCAGAATATTCTGAATTAAGAGTACTCTCATTCTGATTCAGATAATCCTGTTTGTGTGGAGGGAAATCTGAGGAAGCTCCACTTAAATGTTCCGAGACTTCAGCTTCAGAGCCACATTTTTCAACTTGCTCTTCAGAAGAATCTTCCACACCAGTTATTGCACTGGTCATTTTTAGAGCAGCCTGGTCCTCTTCCACCAGCAATTTATCTTTTTTCACATATTTGTTTGATTCTTGAGTAAACTGGATGTCTTTTCCCTGTAAAAGTATTTATTTCAGAACCTCCACACTCAGCCAAAGGCAGACTGGGAATATGTGCTAGTGGGGAATTTCTACTTACTTTCTGCTTTAATTCTGCTGAATTACTGGTATTATCTGGTGCCAAATCATCAAGGCTCATGATATTCAGTCCAAAATCTGCAAATAAATGACACCTACACATGAGAATTTGCATGAAATTTACAGTACACTTTGCTGTAAGTGACAAAAATGGGGGGAAAAAAATCAGTACTAGCTTCCTACTTCAGTACTGAAAAGTAATAGCAATCAGTCACTGATTCTTTAACTTCATAGAAACTCCTAAAATTTCCTCCTTTGGTCAGCTGACATTCCTGAAGTTCAAGAGATTTTTGCTGCCCCTCATTTCCAGCTGTTCTCACTCTGACCCATTGGGACATTGTGCCACTGATAGAGGAAAACTACTTTAAATGTTCTAATTGTTTTGACATCATCATGTCACCCAGGGCAGCATCATTAATATGAACCCATTAAGTCAAAAGCTAAGAAAAATACAAACCTATTACACTAGAAAAAAAATAAACAGATCAAGATAATCACTTTGATCAGGCCTTGGTTTGTGTGAAATTTCACCAGTGAATCCTATTTGCCCATGAGAATTTATCAGGAGATTATCAGTACAATTGATACTGAGTCTACTGAGAAAAAACTTACATTTCAAACTGCTGCTGGATGGATCTTCTGCATCAGCTCCTTCAGAAAATAATTCATCTAATGACTTTATTTCACTTCTGTCACTTTCAAGAGATTCTTGGATGTGCTTGGTGTAGCCTGCTTTAGGCAGAGCACGCTTTACAGTGTTGTCCTTCGTGGAAGATGACAGCAGTTGAAATCTCCTGATATGTCCTGACAGGTTTCTGCTGGTGGGTGAAGGTGCTGGTGAATTAACTCTACCAAACACACTTTTCTCTGAGTCTTTGTTGTGAGAAGATGCTTTAGATAATTCTGCTGATGAAACTTCCTTACGAGGTGGAGGAGCCTTTCCTGGTGGCACTGGAGTCTTACTCTTTTTGAAGAACATGAAAAAGAGATTTATGTGTTACTTCATTGTTATGTGTAGATTGCTAAAGGGAGAACAAACCATTGTGGGTAAAATAGAGTAATTTTAAGATGTTAAGATGTGAACCTGAATCCTATCATGAGCAAGACACAAATGCAAACTTAAGATTTAGTTGCTAGTGTTATTTAAATAAAAAGCAACCAATTAAGACAATTATATGAAAGCATTAATAAAAATACATAATCCAGCAAAGTTTGTATTTACCTTTCTACCTTACTGAGCATCACTTACCAGAACCTTCTGATTCCCACTTCCACTGGAAAACCCCAAAGAGCTCTCCATCAGTTCTCTCATTTCCTCTTCATCACTATCCAGATCAAGCTGTTGTTTAACCATAACACTCCTTTTAGGGCTTTGCATGCTTTCCTCTTCCCCAGAACAAGCATCTCTGCGGGTCCCAATTTCACTGGTGGCACCATAATTCTTCCAGTACCTCCTGCCCCTGGCACCACCTTCATGCCCAGAGGTGGATGAGCTGCACTCCTCATCCAAAGCCTTCAGGCCCGAGTCAGTGTTCTGCAGTTCCAGGTGCTTTTTTTGACCCATGATTTTGCTTTCTAGCTGTGCCACTTTGTTCAGGACGGAGTTTAGCCGCGTGTGGGCGGCGCTGCCCGGAGCGCTGGGGGCTGCCCGGCCGCTCCAGGCCCGCCCGGCGCTCCCCGGCCCCGGGCAGCGCCGCGTCCCAGCAGCGTTTCCATCGCACACCTTCAGGAACCTGCCCTGGTGCGACGGAGTAATTCCAGCGCTCTCCAGCTCTGTGTCCACCAGCGTTAGGTCACCAAGGGTGCTGCTCCTGCGGGGTACACGGCTGTGGCCCTGCCAAGAATCACAGAGTTACCGACCTTAGGAAAGATCTGACAACACCGAGTCCAACTTGCGACTGATCCTGACCCCCACGTTGTTAACCAGACCAAAGCACTGAGTGCCACATGCAGACTTTCCTTAAACATCTCCAGGGATGGTGACTCCACGGGCAGCCCCTTCTAATGCCCACCACCCTTTCTGCGAAGAAATCCTTTCTGGTGCCCAACCTAAACCACCCCTGTCACAGCTCAAGAGTCTCCCCTCGTCCCGTCGCCGGTACCCTGGTGCAGAGCTGGCTGCCCCCTCCTGTAGGGCTTGTACAGATCCCTCCCCACACAAGACCGGCCCGCGCTGAGACAGGGACCGGTGCCTCACCTGCCATCGGCCCGCGGGTGCCCGAGAGATCGCGGCCATCCGGGACGGGACAGGGTCGGACAGAGCACCATCCCGGGGCCCGCCCAGCCTGAGGCGGCCCAGGCTTCTCTGGGCCGGGCCAGGGCGGGCGGAGTGCCGCCGGTTCCTGGAGTCCGCGACTCCCCAATATCCCGCCCACTGATTGGCTCAGCCCGGCAGTTCGGCGCCGCCAGCGAATCACAAGCAGGTTTACAGCCGCCGGTAGCTGTGCCCTGACTACAAACCCCAGAATGCACCGGAGTCAATGCATGGGAATTTTTACGAACCCGCGATTTGCTAGTTAGTGGAGCGAGTTGGGAATTAATCCGGTTGTTCCGCAGGATTTGCGTTAAAACCCCTCACTGAAACAACATATTGGAGGTTATTACCTGCCCTTTGTATATATACTTGTAATAGAATTATATAGCTATTGAGCTTAGCCATGGATAATTTTTATTTTGCCCAGTTTTTTTGTTTTTCTGGGTTTGTTTTCTAGTACTTTCTAGTGATATCATTCTGCTGTAAGTCAGTTCCTAAGACTTGAGTTTAATGTTCTTAAAAACTTTCCCTTGCTATCTCTAAAACCCTGGCTGACAGATACACACAGCTATATACTCCAATTATATATTTGGATTAAAATTCCAGATCAGACTTATGAAATAAAAACTGATAACAAATGCATCTGGCAACCCAGAAGATTATTTAGCCTGTTTACCACTGAGGAAAATCAATGATCAAAGAAGGCCACAGACTGGGATGACTGAATACGAATTTGTGATCTAACAGACCAATTGATGATCTAAATCAGATCTGAGGTAAATTTCTCTCCTCATTCTGTGTTAGTGGATTATTTAATTTCCTTTTAACATAGTTGAACTGTGCACTGGTTTTGCTTTCTTAATTTTCCTGTGTCTTTTAAAGGATGGGATGAACCTGGACCCATGGTGGAACTAGTGCTGAGGACTGAATTTTGGGATGAAGAATAATAATAATGCAGAATGGTATTATACTGTAGTCGAGATTCCTCTATACAGTTTATAAATAATTTCCTTCTCCTAGCTAGGGGAACACCTTGAGCCCCTTTCTTTGCCTGACTGTATTCCAGACATGTAGTTCATCCTAGGGGAAATTAACAGATGCTGAGGTTTATGCAAAAGATTTTGGAGATAGAAACTGGCGAGAAATGAACATGAAATTCCCATGGATGTTTTCATTCGTTTTAAAGATTCCTTGTCTAATCTGACTGAGAAACTATTGGTGTATACAATTGAAATTAGAGTCCTGAAAAGGAAATGAATGTAAAGTAGGTTGAGGAATAGCAGGAGGAAGGACTACAGAGGAAAAATACTTGAACAATAGCTTAAGAAAATAATTAGAAAGCAAAGACAACTCAGGAAGGGACAGAGCAATGGGGAATGATATTTATAATATATATTATAGAGAGGAGCCCTGTCTGTGTCTGCAGGGAGGGGTCAGAGCACGGACCAGGGGGCCCAGCAATGGGACAAGAAGCAGCAGGCAGAACATGACAAGAAGTTCCACTTGAATATGAGAAAAACTTTGCTGCGCAGTAACGGAGCACTGGAACAGACTGCAATCCCTCACTGGAGACATTCCAGAACTGCGTGGACACAATCCTGTGCCATGTGCTCTGGGATGGGGCTCGGCGGCCCATTGTGCTCCATTCAAACCTCGCTCGTTTTGGGGTGATGTGGCTGCCCAGGGAGCTGGGCAGGGTGGTGAAGTCCCTGTCCCTGGAGGTGTTTAAGGAGCGACAGTGATCTGTGCGACAAGGTGGTGATCTGTCAAAGACTCCATGACCTGAGAAGTCTCTTCTGTCCTAAATGCTTGGGTGACTCCGTGGAGCGCTGCGGGCAGCGGCAACTGCCGCCCAGGAGCGCCTGCCGGGCCCCGATAAAGCCGCGGCCGCTGCCGGCGGGGCTCGAGCACCTCCTCAGCCGCCGCCACCGCCTCCTCGGGCCCGCCCGGCCCGGCCCGGCCGCCGCCTCCCGCCGCCTCCCGCCCCTCGCTCCGCCCCGGCCGCGGCCCGACCCAGCGGGAGGAAGATGGCGGCGCTCATCCCCCTCAGCCAGCAGGTACCGGGGCTGCCGGGGACGCGCGGCCCTCCGCAGCGGCGGCCGGGCGGGCGCGGGGAGCGGCAGCGGGGCCGCATCGCAGCCGGGCGCAGCCGGGCTGGAATTGCCGCTGGGTACAGGCCCTGTGCCGGGAGGGGCTCGGCCCGCGGGGAATAAGGGTCGGGGCGCGGCGGGGAGCGGGAGCCGGGCGGGGCAAGGGCGGCGAGCGGCCCCCGCCGTGCCCCGGGACCGCGGTGCGCGGTGCTGGGGGGGGCCGCAAGCTGCGCCGCCGCCCTCCCCTCATGGAGGCCCTGGAGCTGCGTCCCTGGGGAGGGGCTGAGGGTCTCCTGGCGCTTCCCCACCCCGAACCGCCGGGATTACCGTGGGCCGGGGGTTTGGAGGGGACAGGGTTGGTGCTCCGCACGTCAGCCCGTTTCCCTGTTGGTACCGGGGGTGATGCCGCCGGGAAGTGCTGAGCTGTTGTGGCGGGGTGCCATGACCGGGTGGGGAGCGGGGACACCGGCAAGGGGCTGAGGGATGAGCGGGAGCTGCTCGCCTGTCAGGAGGAGGAGGAGAAGCTTCTGCAGGGCAGGGGACGGGGCGCCCATCCTGACCCCTGGGAGAGGCTGTGTCCAGCTCTGGCTGAATGCTCGGGATCCCTTGGTTGATTCCTCTTGTTACAAGTTTTTTTTTTTAATTTTATTTTTCACCCAAATAATTCAAGCTTAAGCAGTGTGATCGCTGTTTATTATTTTCTATAGCCATGTGAGGAGAGTCAGTATACTTATTTATATCCCACTACCTTCAACGTCTTAAAACCAAAACTGTTTTCTATACTGTGCCTAGGCCAGTCAGGCATTCTGAATGACTCCTATTAGTAGTTCAGACTATTTAAATATATCAATTTCCTTTTAATAATGATCTTTGAGTTGTGATACGCTAAAAATTTATCTCTCAGTGGAGTTATGTGGTGCTTGGATAACATAACTTGCTGTGTGTCTTACTAAGAACATGTACTGCTGTTTAGTAAGACTCCTGATTAACATTGGTTTGATTAAGTGAACATATTCAGAAACATCTGAAAACATCCATGTGCACACAAACTGTTATCAAAAAATTTCAAGTGATTAATGTGGTGCAAAATATGGAAGCCAGATAAACTCTGGATGTGAAAGGGTCTGTAGTTGTGAACTTCTATAATACATTGGTAAAAATCAAATAATTATCAAATGCTTACTCTAGAAATCCAGTTTCTCTAGGTTAAATTCTCATTGATCTTTGAGTCTGGCATCAATGGTATTCCTTTTGATAGACAATGTTATGTTTAGGGGGACTAAGACCACATTCTGTAAACATATCCGTTATTTTTATATAGTATTTTCCAACTAATTCAGTGGAAGCATTGTAGTTCTAAGAGTTGTTTTTGTACATCGAACTGTCAAGAGTAATCTAGCTGTAAACAGAATTTCCTTTAAGGTAGTAAACTTCCTCTTGTAATAGCCTCAGTTTTGTGATTACTAAGGACATGTGTGTTAATTAGAGTAAATGCCAGAAATGGAATTAGACAGAATAGGAGAGGGTATGTGTGTTGTAACATTGAGGCATGTCCACTCAGAAAGCTATAAAATAAGACTATTGATACCAACATTTAAAGAGCTGAAAAGAGTTTTGGTAATTCAAGCAGCTTAAAATATTTTCCCATTAATCATTTATCATTATCATAATAATACTTTATTTAAAATAATTACTGTGATCCAGAGATCCTTGTGACCCGGACATGACTTCAGGAACGAGAATTAATTGTTCTGGTGGCAGGTGCTTGCTCGTGCCTTTTTTCCAGACCTGCACTGAGTCATTTAGGTAAATTGGTCAGAAAGACTGAATCTTTGTAAAATTCTGCAAGTAGAGAATTGATCTTGAGGTGCTTTTCAGCAGTGCTTGGGCGAATAATTTGCTGTAGAAGAAATTTCACAGCATTGACTTGGAGCAATATCCATGCATGTGCACTGTGTGCCACAGAGTGTGCAGACTCAGGACTTCAACTTCTGAACAAAAAGTCAAATTGGAAGTTAAACAACAAGGTGCTAGGGCTCTGAAGGGTCTTTTTGGGAGGTGGTCTAAAGCATTGGTCAGAGGTGATGTTTTGGAGAGTATAGAGCAGGGGAGGATGAACTCTTGGTCAAACTGAACCTCTCTAACAGGTTAAGCTTTGACATCATCAACAGTGCACTCTTCAAAATTTTTGTCTCTGCCACTGTTGGCAGTCTTGGGTTGGTCCTTCATGAGCAGATGCCACCAAATTTCAGAATCCTCTCCAATGATGGTGATGTCATCACGTGTAGTGATGGGTAGATAGAGAGCTGTGCTATTTTTATCACTTGAACCCATTTTGTCTGGTTTGCTTCATCGCAGAGATGCAGTCATTTAGGTAAATCGCTCAGAAAGGCTGAATCTTTTTAAAATTCTGCAAGTAGAGAATTGATCTTGAGGTGCTTTTCAGCAATGCTTGGGTGAATAATTTACTGTAAAAGAAATTTCACAGCATTGAAGCACATCACCCTGGCTTCCTGCCACCTCTGCCAGGTAAGTCAGCTCCATGTCATGGCTGACAATATCAAATGGGGGTGACAGGAGTGTCTGGTGGTGGGATGAGCTCATTCAGTCCTGCTGCTGGAGCAGTTTGCTGTGTATCTTGGTACCAATCCAGTCTCTGCGTGCTCTAGGTCACTCACTGCATCAGTTAGAGGAGCTTGTAGTTGGTGGTTGAGCTTGTCTGAGCTTTCTGATAAACAAGAGGTGCATAGTTTGGTGATAGTTGGCTGAAAACATGGTTTTATTCAGAGTGGAACAGGCCATTTCCTACTTCCACTTTTTCTCTGAGTGATGTATTTCCTGCTTGGACAGGAACACAATGCTTATATGTGCTGATGGTTTACATGCCAGCGCAAAGAATAGTCAGATTTATGAGTTATGTTTGCAGCATCCTCCTGAAATCCTGTCTGCCATCC